GTGTCCCAGCTCCGCCTGCGTTCCGCTCACAACAATCCTGGAAAGAAAAGCCTGTTTCGGTGGCGAGGTTTGCTTAGCCAAGCGTTACAGACCGTCCCGCGGTGCCTCATTGACGCTGCTCCTAATTTTACAGCCATCTTGCCAGCATAAAAGCCCTGCTTGCATCCAGCTGGGCAAGCTGCACGTGGCATGCAACGCTACTCTGCTTCCCGGTATTCTAAGTGCTCGTCCATGCGCAGCTCAGATATCCCCTTGGTGGCTCCGGCTCCGCTGGATGCCACTGGCAGGACACACACCACCTCAGATGCCGTGAGAGGCGTTACTGTGCACAGGAACAGTCCGGTGACAAGCCGGCCTGTGACCATTTAACCGAAGTCAGGACTTGTGGGCAAATTAAAGGAAGCATCTGGGTTTTACTTCACAATACCAACAGCTTTATGAGACTTCTGCTCTGCAAGTGCCGTCTCTGAGCTTGCATCCACCGGAGAGAAGGAGCATCACTGTACACCTCACGTACGCACAGCCCTGAGACACACAGCCTGTGCGCAGCCCAGGGCCGCCAAGCCTTTCGCAGCGGAAACGACTCGGGGGAGTGGCCTTGGGTGCACAAACAGCGTGGGGAAAGATTTAACGTCTCACCTCTCGCCCCAACAGGCAGCCTCGAGAGCAGGCTGACAACAAGTCTGTGTGCTCCTAAAACGGAGAGCAACCAAGTTATTACACAGCCACCTACAGGCAAGTGACACAAACGAACTCCGTGATGAGGATGTGGGTTTACACGGCACCCTTAGCTCCCACCCTCTGGCCAAGCACTCCAGAGCAGGAGCCACAGGCGTCTGAAGGAACCCAAACCTCCCTCCTCTGCTGCGGCACCCAACGGCAGTAAACCTCAGCTCCCGGGCTCCCGCCCAGAGCTACATCTGGGTGACCAAGTCCCCGGCAGCACCGGGCTCTGGGAAGCACCTTCCTCTTCTCCTGCCCCCGCAGACAGCCTACGGACCTGATTCCTCTTCTCACTGTAACAACACGTGTCGTAACACCCGTGGAGTAAACACGTGCCTCCACCCACCCCGGATTTACCGGCAGAGAAGCGGCTCACCTAAACCCTTCCTTGTGAACAGATGAGAAGGGCCCACTCCTCATTGTCGTTCCACCACTAGAATTGGTCATTAAAGTACAAATTTGGATTTCTTTCCCACTGAAGCAGAGTTCAAATCAGTCACTTTCCCACCTGTGGGAAACTGTCGAAAGGCCAAGTGACAGGACCTTTCTGGAAGCCCTTTTATCCCTGGCTTTACCCCAAATTCAGCACGGCAAAGAACGATGCTCGCAGGAGACACATCAAGCTCCTGCACCAACAGGTAGCGCACACGACTCGCAGAGCTGTGAGCCTTCAGTCCTCTCCCCGATTCACAAATCCTTTCCGCATTTGAACCCATTTGTTGATCATTTTAACCCATCTTTGTCAGGCAAACAGCTTTACACCTGCCCGTGGTTTACACCGTGCTCTGAAAATACTGCAATTACTAATTCAATATTAATTACTTAATAGTTGCAATAAGAGAAAGTGCATAAGCTCTTGGCATGCGTGTACGAACACGTGTTCGAGATCACGCAGCACGAACTGATCCCAATACTTCCATGATCACCCTCACATTTAACTGCAGGTGGAACTCCAGTAACTTTCAAAAATATCAACTTCACGCAAGCAATAACGTGATTGCAAAATCATTAACTGCAGCTCGGTTGCAAAAATAACCAGTGGCAATTCCAACTCAATTGAACGAGGATCTACCGGTAACAGATTAACCAGATCAATGTGTACGTAGCACGCCGAGCGTGGTACGTTGCTGCTCTCAGTTTCAAAGTTCACACATGAACTTCTTACGGTGCACACATGGTCTATGAACGAACTGTGGATGAAGGCAGAATTCCAGGGAAAACAAGGTAAGTGACAATACAGAACGAATTAATTATTTAATGTAGCCTGCTTACAGGAAAAAAGAACCCTTGATCAGGATTTTAAAAAGGAATGCACAAATAGAATATAGAATCATGGAATGGTTTGGGTTGGAAGGGAATTTAAAGATCATCTAGTTCCAACCCCCCTGCCATGGGGAGAAGAGTGGAAGAATCCCCTCCCTCGCCCCCCTGGCCACACTTCTCCTGATCCAGCCCAGGATCCGGTTGGCTTTCTGGGCTGCCAGCGCACACGGCCGGCTCATGTCCAGCTTTTCATCCCCCAGCCCCCCAAGTCCTTCTCCTCGGGGCTGCTCCCCACCCACTCTCCCCCAGCCTGTCCTTGTGCTGGCATTGCCCCGACCCAGGGGCAGGACCTTGCCCTTGGCCTGGTTGAACTCCATGAGGTTGGCACGGTCCCCCCTCTCCAGCCTGTCCAGGTCCCTCTGGATGCCATCCCTTCCCTCCAGCGTGTCACCGCACCACACAGCTCGGTGTCATGTCAAACTTGCTGAGGGTGCATAAATCCCACCATCCATGTCATAGAATCACAGAATGATTTGGGTTGGAAGGGACCTTAAAGCCCATCTAGTTCCAACCCCCCTGCCATGGGCAGGGACACCTTCCATAGCCCAGGTTGCTCCAAGCCTCATCCAGCCTGGCCTTGGACACTCCCAGGGATGGGGCATCCACAGCTTCTCTGGGCAACCTGTCCCAGTGCTCCCACCCCCTGCGGGAAGAATTCCTTCCTGATATCTAATCTAAACCTCCCCACTTTCAATTTAAACCCATTACCCCTTGTCCTGTCACTACAGGCCCTGGGAAAAAGTCCCCCCTCAGCTTCCTTGTAGCCCCCCCAGGCACTGGAAGGTCCTATAAGGGCTCCCCACAGCCTTCCCTTCTCCAGGCTGAACAAGCCCACTCTGCCATACCATGATGATACAGAAAAAAGAATACAGTGCACATGTAGACTGGTGAATACCTGATGACAAAACCATTTTATAAGATGTCTTTTTAAAAAGGTATTCTTAAAAAAAAATTATCATTGACAAATCCTCAAAAACCTCACTGTGAATTCAGTATTCAGTCACGTATGGTATTCAATGTTGCCTAACAAAATTATTATGTAAATAGCGCGTTTGGCTTTGTACCGAAGTTATTTCAACAGATTGATGTGGGCATGGATTTGATGTGAGGGGGAAAGCTTGAACTGCGCATGCAAGCATCTAAACAAATTAATCACACAGGAAATCCCATTCTAAAATTATCCTCAATCTCTGAGTACCTAAACATAGAATCTTAAAAAAAAAACAAACCAAGGACCCCCACACCAAAGGTGTCTCTGATACTTCAAATCAGCTGCTTGTTTCCCAAGACGGCTTTTTCCGTCTGCAACACCGCTGACCTTACTCACCCAGCCAGTATTCCTGTCAGGAGATTAACAGGCCCCAAAGCCCCTGCGGATACTGGCTTACAGAGGAGTAGAGAGGACGAGAGGGGTTATTTCGGAATAATGCCCCTCACTGGGAGCGACACCCACCTCCCCTGCCCACCCACCCACCTATGCTCTTCCTCTCCGCTGCCTGTGCCCTCAGCCTGTGAGCGCGAGCAGCGCGCGCTTCCGAAGCACGCGTGTGCTGCTCGGGGCAGGAAGGAGCTGCTCTCCCACACACCGCTGCCCGGCCCGCAGCGGCCACAGATGTTTCATGCCACGACACGGCAGGCTCAGTGGCCAAGCTCAGTGGTCAAGCTCAGTGGCCAGGCTCAGTGGTCAAGCAGGGGGCATGCGCAGTCTGCGAGGCGTGGAAGTGGCCCGGAAGGGTGGGTTTTGGGCTAGCAGATAGCTTTGCTGGTAGCTCCCGTTGTTACTGCTCGGCAGGCTTCAGCAGAGAAGCAGCTTCTTTTGTTTTTCTGGTTGGGGGGTGGTAGTTTTGTTGGCTCCCTGCTCTCGGGCTCAGGGGTTTCTCTCTCTGCTCTTGGACTTGGTGTTGGGCCTTTTTTTCTCTCCACTTGGATTTTGTTTGCTCTTTTGGAATCTGGCTGTGTCAGTCCACGGGTGGTGAGGTACTGTACTGTATGTTCTATTTTCTGTTGTTTTAATTACTTAGTAGTAGTAACTCTGTTAGTACCACTGTAAGTTTCATTTACACAGTTAAATAGTTCTTATCTCGGCTTCTACGAGTTTCCCTTGTCTTTTCTTTCTTTCTTCCTCCACCCAGATGCGATCGAGAGACTGGTGCTACTGAACTGCCAGATAAGGCTGAGCCACGACAGTGTACGTTTCCTCACTTGCACACAGGGTTAGGACCTGCAGCACGGGCTATTCCAGCTCTTCTTTTTTTCATTAAGACATTCTTCTCCTCTCCACCTGTCTCAGAAAGCCTTTTTGGATGGCAGTCTATCACAGCTTCAGTGGTAGCTGATGTAGGCATATCCTAGGCTGTTCTCTGCTGTGAAAAAGTGCTCCTTTATACGTACTTCCCCCCAACTATCCTTTTTTTTTCCTAAAATGGAAAGATTTACTTCCTGAAACACAGTCATTTAGAAGCAGCAGCAGCGTGTCACCATCCTTCCTCCCCTACTTTCCCTCCTTTACATACCCTACCCTCCCTGCATGCCAAGGCTGTTTTCCAGGGGTTTTCCCCAACGCCTCCCTTCTCTGCTGCTTCTCCTTGGGCTCTACCTGCTTTACTTGTTCCTAAATCTCTTCTCACACCCGATTCTTTCCCAGCTCTTCAGTTTCTGCCAGTGCAGGAGCAGAGCCTGTGAGGTTGCTCCTGCATCTGTGATACCTTCCCTGGGGTGGTTGTTTCCGAGCCCCAGACCGGGAAGGAGAGCCGAGAGCCGACCTTGGATCAGAGGTGTGTGCTGGGCTGAATGACTGTCTACACCATGCGCTCCTCTAAGCATTCCAGACAGGGAAGGATGCTCAAGACATGGAATTCTGCAATTTTTGCTGGATTTCTTTCTTTTTAAAAGCTATCTGAAACAGTTCGTGGTACTTGCTCTTCGTGACAGGTTTGTGGATAAAACCATAGACGATGGCAGACAGCAATGAGATGACCATCAACCTCGTTGTCCTTGGAAGAGTGCAGACTGGAAAAAGCGCTGCTGGAAACAGCCTGCTGGGCAGCTGGGACTTCGCCAGCCACCGCTCCGCGAGCTCCGTGACTACCCGCTGCAGCCTCGGCCGCAGCTGCCGCATTTCGGGGGTTTTGCGAAGAAACGGCTGCGAGCTCGCTCTCCGCGTTCGGGTCCTCGACACGCCGAGCTACCCTCACAGCGCTCTGAGCGAAGAGCAGGTCAGAGACAGCGTGAGGTCCGCCCTGGCTTGCCACTTCGGCAAGGAGGGCCTGCACCTGGCTCTCCTGGTGCTGAGGGCTGACGTGCCTCTGTGCGCAGATGAAAGCAAGCAGGCGCTTCACTTCATCCAGGTAAACAAACCAATGCAAGTCTCTGCCCTAACAGCAACTCCTTCGTCTTCGGGTGACGACAGCTACGGCAGAGTTGACTCACAGGGGAAACAGAACGGCAGCTGAGCAGTGGAACGCTTCCCACCAGTAGCTGGGACGCCATTCACAGCTCCAACACCACAGCTATGCTCATAGAATCACGGAATGGTTTGGGTGGGAAGGGACCTTAAAGACCCCCTCAGTCCCACCCCCTGCATACATAAACATACCTAGATGAAAATACACCAATACGTAAATATAAATAGCTCTCCTAGCATGTTTGATTAGCTCTCCTACTCTTTCAGGTTACTCCCTGTTCGTAGGCTACTCCTCACTTTTCCAGTAGTTTGAGAGTTGGTTCTAATTTCACCACACCCTGTCAGTTTACTCACATTTATTTGTTTCCAGTGTTTCCCTGTTTCTTTATACAGTTCCCCATCTCTACACTTCATGGTACTTCAGAGAAAGGAGTATTTACTCTGAGCCAATGAAGTAGCATCAGGCTTCTAGTTGGAGACTGTTTTGGAACGAGTCCTTGGGGGCATTAAAAGCCTAAGAGATGCCACCATGACTTTTTTCTTTGAATGGAGCTTTAAACCCCCCCCGAAAGGAAATAAAGCACGTTTACAAACAGTGAGAAATCAATACTTGCTTCCATTCCATGATTACAACTGTCTCTCAGCTTGTATAATGGTTGGCTTTTTAGTTATTTTCTCCTTAAAAGCCCAGATACTGTGAATTCATCAGCCCCAACCAGGGCAGAAGAGCTGCCAGGGTGCCCGGAACACAAACAGGGACATTTCTATTTCAGTATGTCACTCCAAGACGACACTCATGTGAAGACAGCCCTGAACAGTCAGGAGTTTTCACAACAACCCTCTCCAATTAGGGATGGCATTTCAATGAAGATGGCACACTGGTGTAAGACTACTGTCATCTCATTCTCTCTGGCTTTATTTCAATAACCTAATTCAATTTTAATTCAGTAACATAAACCTAACAACTTGAGAGTGCAGCAGGTACTGATTTCAGAACGAACATCAGCACTGGCTTTGAGTGCTCAGCAAATCACGGCACTACCCTCTCTCTCCAAAACTGACAGCACTTCCTTAGACAGATTATGCCAGAAATTTGTATTGGTTTACTTTATTTTCATCCCTAGTGTCTAAAACATGAATCACTCTCAATATACCATGTTTTTCTGACTCCCTTCTTACGTGGCAGCAGAAAAACACCCTTTAAAGCAGTTGTATGCACCTTGGTGTTCAGGTTACAGCACCAGGACCGTTGCAAAGTGGACTTCAGGACCTTAAAGAGCTTCCTGTCACCAGGCTTCCTGTCACCCACGGGAGTTAGCGTGGCCGCGCTAAAGTTGCAATTTCACTACATCTCTAAGTGAAAACCCAGTTCCTGCTCAAGTTGTCTGTGCTCACTGACAAGGAGCAGCCTGTTGCCCCCATTGCCCTCCAGCAGATGAGCCACAGAACGCTCTGGCCCATCGCTGAGGTTGAGGCATCTGATGTGTGTTTTTCCCGAGCTGCTGAGAAGGGCTCAGTTTTATGGGATGCAGCTGGAACAGCAGTTGGCGTTGCACAGAAACCCACAATTATTTTTTTTTCTCCAAGATACGGTGATTAAAAAAATTCAAAGAGCTGTAAAAATATGGGTACGTGGACACTACTGATGTAAATTACGTGTGACACAGCTAAACAACCATTTTTCCTTATTTACATCTTTTAACTGGAAAAATTCTATTAGCATCTATAGTAAGAGAGCAAAGAACTGCTAGCACCGCACGGCCACGCACTTCCACGGAGAGGGGATGTCAGTGTCTGGGGAGGGTGAAAAACCCCAGAAATGTCACCAGCTCAGATAGCACGGGCTGGATTACTGCCAGGAAAAGAACGTACAACCGGCCTGGTAATGCCTAAGTATACGAGGTGGGAGTAGGGAAAACGAAGAAGGAAGGAGAACTATTTAAGTTTTGTTTTTCATTACAGGAACTTCTGGGTCCCACATGGAAGGATTTCACTGCCGTCCTACTTACTCATGCAGACAAGGCGGAGGGGGCCGGATTCGATGAGGAAGAATACTTGCACAGTGCCTCCAGTACCCTGCTGTCACTTCTGAGCTCCGTACAGCATAAATACATTTTCCTAGACAACCAGAAGTGCATACTTAAAGAGGAAAGAGCTATTGTCCTAAGAAAGCTCTTGAATTTTATAAGACAAAATAATTACCAAGTGCTTCTACTTAAACACAGCAAGGAATAAAATTAGCTTCCAGGTGCCCATTTGTTTATTTTCTATGGTAGGTAACATTTAATAGAAGAGCAGAAGCCATCAACTGCAAAACTCCACATCCACACCAAACACCTTTGAACACACTGCTGGAAAGATCTCCTCACATTACCAAACTAGCTGCCTTTCAGAATACTTTACGTTACTGCAGAGAATCCCAGAGTGGTTTGGCTGGGAAGGGACCTCAAAGCCCCCCCCAGTGCCACCCCCTGCCATGGGCAGGGACACCTTCCATAGCCCAGGTTGCTCCAAGCCTCATCCAGCCTGGCCTTGGATACTCCCAGGGATGGCGCATCCACAGCTTCTCTGGGAACCTGTCCCAGTGCTCCCACCCTCTGTGGGAAGAATTCCTTCCTGATGTCCCATCTCCATCTCCCTCTTTCTGTTTACACCCATTACCCCTTGTCCTGTCACTCCCTGCCCTTGGGAAAGGTCCCAGTCAGAAGTGAGCTTCACACCCAAAATCAGGACAAGCTGGGCTCTAAATCACACTCCGGTACGTATGTAGTCACAAGCGAGACCTTGTGCTACACCAGACTAAACTTTGCATTTCATACAGAGCAGACCTGAACGGAAACAGGGTAAAAGCTGCACGAGTTGAGTGTAAGGAAGTCCCTTTGCTCGACTAGTCCAGCTTTCAAAAGCTCCTCTGAATTCCAAAGTTTGTAAGAGATTTCATAGAATCATAGAATCATAGAATCACTAGGTTGGAAAAGACCTTAGAGATCATCCAGTCCAACCGTAAATTTATCTACTGCAGAAGTGTTTTCTTACCTTGATTCAGGATTCGTTAGAACTGAGATTTTGAACTCAAATAACTTTATTAAGATATTGTGGGATGTGTAGCTTACAAGGCAGATAAAATAGCACCGTGCCTAACGCTCTGTGCCACATTTAAGGGAGCTAGTTATTATTGCTTCTTCCCAGATGTGTGAAAAATTAGCACAGTTTATAGGCACATACAAAACTCATTTGCAAATAAGAAATCTGTTCGTCTCTCCTGTGGCGCCTGTTCCTTTTCAGTTTCTATCATGGTCATTTTGTTGTCTCTCCCCCTTTACTGGACGAAGGTCAAAGCTGGCAAAATTCAGAGTGGCTACGTTTTTTTATTTCAGTGGTTAAAAAAAGCACTTACCGTTTCAGTGGTTGGACTGTAACCAGTTAATTAAATATTATATGCCAAAGTATCCAAAGTATTTCTAAATAGTTACTTAAAAGTTTATTGTAAATTGATCTAAGTTAGGTATTAAAAGGCAGGCATTAAGAGAAGTGATTTGAGGCTACTGCCATAGCAACCATGACTACTTGTGCTACATAACTAGGGAATAATTCTAATTGTAAACCTGAAGAAGCTATTTCTGTTAAAACCAAAGCATCTTTTGTATAAAACATCATTGCATAAAAAAACCATTAAACCAAAAGAAATCAATTCATTTTATTCCTGCTTGGGCAGTGGAAATGCGGTTTTTTGGTAGCATTAGACTATCTCTGGCAACCTATTTGCTGTTCATTCTTTCTTAGTCCTATCTATCATTTGGAAGGAAAGATGTTGGAGTAGACAAAGAACTATTTTAGCAAAGTGACAGCTTTGAGCTCAGTGACACGGTAGCAGCTCCCCTGTGGGCCAGGAAAGCATGGCCATTTCTGTATCGTAGGGCATACGGGGCTCCAGTTTAATCTTCCCTTTACTACTCTCAGCAAACTACTGAGACAACACAGCCAAGAACAATGCTGCAGAGGCTTATAATATATCCGAAACTGCTTGGAAGGAGGAAACCTAGTAAGAGGTGACAGAAGAACGAAGACCACTGTGGTCTCCACTGACCAACTGCTAGTCCTGCACCTCCTGAAGAGCAGGTAGCAGACAAGGCAGAAGTGTTTCCTTGCCGAGATGCTCTTGCTCCATAGATCCTCTATAACCCTTTTAGCTGCCCAGAAGATCCGCTCACCTGCCTGCAGTCCTACCATGCAATGGTCTCGGCAATCGAGTCTCGAGCACTGAGCGGTTAACGACTGCTGACAGCAGGTAACCTCACGGACGGCACGCGTGGTAAATGAGTGAATTATGAAAACGTTGGAGGCATACCACATTCTGCACCCCTGGGAGAAGAGTCAAACAAAAAAGGTATTAGCCATGCATTTCAGAGGGTAATACGTTCACGTTTTTATTGGGTTTGCATTACTTTCCATTTCAACACCTGAAAAAGCCTGTGACAACCCTTCCTTTATTTAATGCCGCTGTTCGCCATGGTCTCTGCTCTGCACACTCCTTTCCCTTTCACTTCGAACGGAACTCCTTTGTACGTGGCGACACACTGGTCATTGGTGTGAAGATCAGGCTGGATTTGCTCCCAAATCTTCTTCTTGGGATTAAGCTCCTTCTCAGGATCCCCTGTATCAAAACAAAGAATAGCCTACTAGCACACAACACCGGAGGCAGAGCAAGAGTGCTGCGTATGCACGCGTCCGTGACAGCCCGCACAGCATCGCCGCACACCCTCGTAAGGAAAAACCATTACCTGCAATTCTCAAAATGAAAACTTTAGTCGGAATTAGGGATTGTCTAGGAAATGCCTCCAGAGCTTCTCAAAATGCCGACCTTTCAGGGGATAAGAGGCTGGAAGTAACAGACCACAAATACTGTCAAGAGGAATAAATCAAAGCATTGGTAGTTGCTGGTTTACAAAATTTACCAGACCAAAAGGATCCCTGAGAATTAAGCAGACACGGAGCACTGAACTCGCCGAGGGACACGTCAGTCAGCATCTTCAGCTTAGGAGTTAATGAATTTTTAATAAACAATTCAGTGAATTTGGCAGGTGCCGTTACAGTTGAGCAATACTGAACTTAGACAAGAATAGCTGAAAATTACATAGTGATTATAATTATAGCCCCAAGTTTCAATACTGTTCTGCTATTTTGTACTATTTGATGACAAGCTTTGGTGCTTAAAATGACACAAGTGTCAGAGGCCAGCTTGTCCGTCAGCAATTTCTGCCCCAGCCTCTCTACACCTCCGCTCCCTGTCTCTAGGTGCACACCACGACAAGGTACCGACAGGCTCACCGCATCAGCACACCTGACTACATCGGGATCTCCGATGACCAAAAGTCACAGGTGTCTTTTACTGCTGTTCTGAAATACCGTTAACAAATTACACAGAATGGTGAAGTATTTCAGAGTCATTTTTCCCATTTCTAAATAGCCACGAAATGCAAAGTAAGGAACAAAATGGCCAAGCTAAATAACCTCTCTTGTGTAAAGATAGGGAGTAAACGGCTGCCTGCTGACATCACCTAGCTCAACAAGACAACCAATTCTCTGTACTGTTATTTTCTGTTCAAAGGTCCCATAAATTTAACCTCTTATTTCTATTACAGTGCAGATTCTCTTAAAGAAAAAAAAGAGATTTCATCATAGTGCTGTCAGGTGCTCTGAGGGGACTTTTTCCAAGAGCCTGTAGTGACAGGGCAAGGGGTAACGGGTTTAAATTGAAAGTGGGGAGGTTTAGATTAGGTATCAGGAAGGAATTTTTCCCACAGAGGGTCGGGAGCACTGGGACAGGTTGCCCAGAGCAGCTGTGGATGCCCCATCCCTGGGAGTGTCCAAGGCCAGGCTGGATGAGGCTTGGAGCAACCTGGTCTAGCGGAAGGTGTCCCTGCCCATGGCAGGGGGGTTGAAACTGGATGATCTTTAAGGTCCCTTCCAACCCAAACAATTCCATGATTCTATAACACAGAAAGGACAAATAAAAAGACACAAGACCTGTTTTCAATATTATTAGAGCACATTTAAATGCTGAAGGGGATCCACTGCTATTTCATTGTTGATACAGTTTATATATATGTATGTTTTTTACCTGCTCGGAGCACCATATTGGCACCATTGTACCCAAACTCTTAAAATCTTTACACTCCAGAACAAGCAAGAATTAAAAAACAAAACAAAGTAAACAGTTCTTCCCCCAGCTCCTCTCAGAGGAGGAGGAGTTCCTAAAGGAAAACGAGTGCTCCAAGTGAGCAGTCAGGTACGCACACCCATGTTGCAGTGCTCAGTGTCCCTAAGGGTTCAGGAAGAACTGTAAGGCACAGGGATTCTCCTGTACGTGCCTAGAAATTCCTTACTGCTTGGCGTGTTCCTGACCAGGAGGCGTTGAACCAACTACTCTCATTCCAGCCTGCCTTCTCGTCCTTCTCCTTTAAACGCCTTCAAGGGCTCGATCTACTCAGGCTCTCAGCGGCTGGGCAAGCTCCGTCTGCCCGTGGACGGGTGTAAGGGCTGCAGCTCCTGGGACTGTGTGAGCGGAGCAGAGCCGACCGCCCTGCCAGCAGGCCAGCCGTGCCAGAGCAAGACGCAATAACGCACTCCAGTTATTTCACAACCACAGCCCACTTCATAGTTAAAAGAAGAATGTATGAATCAATTTGACATCTAGAGCCAATTGTGCATTTTCACAAAAATAAAGATCCCGCTCAGCTCTGTGGTTCACGAACACAGACAGCCTTGGATTTAGCCCAAAGCGAATGCACGCGATCTAATAAAACCATTAACCAGAAAGTTAAATGATCCATTGTGCATTTCCTTCCCCCTCCTCAAATATAAACAGCAAGTGAATTTTTTCAGTAAGAAAAGCCCCCGATATTCATAATAAAAACCACGCGTTGGATGTTAATAAGTTTCTGTGGAATCCTGCATCAAGCTCCCTTGGGAGCTGTGGTGAGCCCGGATCAGATCAGCATAGGCACCGGTTTTAAACACTACCAGAGCTTCAGGCTGCGCATTTTCCTACGGCTTCTCCTCACCACATTCCTTCTTCCACAGAAATATTCTTTAGAAGGGTTTCTATAAATAAAACAACTTCAAACTTGTAATGGCTTAATGAGCTTCCCACTCTCTTCACATTAAAAGAGCCAAATGAGAGACCCCAAGTTTTGTTCAACATGTCAATTCAGCCTGCCAGTTGAAATATTACAGAAGAAATTCTCACAATAAGCAAGAAACCTCCCCGCTTTATAACAGCTCAGCAACTACCGACAGGACGTCTCAGCGCGAGGAGGGGCGGAAGGAGGCGGTGCTGCGCGAGAAGTTACTACCACCGAACCCCCCGGACTGGAAGGGGGCAGCCCACGGGAAGCCTCCGTCCAGGCTCTGCTTCCAGAGCCCTGTTCAGTACGGACTAACTGCACTCCAGTTTCAGCCCTTTGTTAAAGAGACAGTTATTAACTACATTGCCAGGGATTCAGCCCAGAATGATTATTTAATTTTGTAACTTCTAGAACAGATTTGTGGTTCCTGTGACATTTTTACATTGAAAAATTTGGTCCGAGTGTCAGCTGTACCACTAGTAGAAGGATTCCACAGCGAGCTCCAGGAATTATTGCTCTTACAGCAATGACCGTGGAGGCAGGCACAGCGCCCACAGCCATGCCTCGGGATCGTTTTCCTATGGCTTCCAAGTCAGACCTGCTCCACTGAAGGCAGATGGAGGTTTGACCAAACAGGCCCAACACATCTTGAAGCTTCATGTACTGGAGTGTAAAAGGGTGCTCAAGTTGCTCCAAGGGCGATGACATCAAAGCAACAGCAGAGACCGCTGCGCCAGACAGCAGCGTTCCTGGAAACCCCTCCTGCCGGACACTCAAGAGGGTTCATAGAATCATGGAATGGTTTGGGTTGGAAGGGACCTTAAAGACCATCTAGTTCCAACCCCCCTGCCATGGGCAGGGACACCTTCCACTAGACCAGGTTGCTCAAAGCCACATCCAGGCTGGCCTTGGACCCTTCCAGGGATGGGGCACCCACAGCTTCTCTGGGCAACCTGTTCCAGTGCCTCCCCACCCTCTGCGGGAAGAATTTCTTCCTGACATCTACTCTAAACCTCCCTGATTTCAATTTATCCCCATTACCCCTTGTCCTGTCACTACAGGCCCTTGTAAAAAGTCCTCTCCCCGCACCCTTGTAGCCCCTTCAGATACTGGAAAGCTGCAATGAGGTCTCCTCGGAGCCTCCTCTTCTCCAGGCTGAACACGCCCAGTTCTCGCAGCCTTTCGTCATAGGGTTGCAGGAAAACTCTCCAGTTCCTGCAGAATACAGGCCAATTGGTTTGGATGAAGCTATCCTTTCTTTGACTGAGATGACCACGGAAAACTAGCCCCTCTGTCACGAATATTTTGTGTGGCGGGGAGAGAGGCTTAAAAATAACTTCATTCCAAACTGCTTGACGGATGCGTGTGTACGTCTGGAGCTGCTCTGGTGCTGCTTCACAGGCTTCTGTACTTCAAACTGAAGTACGACACAGCAGCCCTTTCTGTTTTCACATCAAGAGCTCTGAATCTTTAAAATTACGCTTTACAAAAACGATCAGAACATAAACGGATACATTTAAGCACCGAAATTAAATGGTATCAACGTCCCAGGATCCGGGCCTCCCGACAAGGGCAGGGGGAAACGCCAGGTTGCCTTGGAGGAGACTGCAGCTACACAACACATGAGATTTTAACAGGGAAAAGGTGAGTAGAAGATAGAGACGCAACCCCATTAAAAACTGAGAAACTTCCAGTCTCCCAGTGAGCTTTCCAGAAACAGGAATTGCGCGGGGGGCACCAGACAAAGGCCAAATCCACCCAAGTTGTTATTTACTCAGACAAGAGGGTAAGTGGCAGCAATCTTGATCTCTCACTACAAGAAATTAAAACCACCTAACGCAAACCAACACCCACCAGCGAACACGGCTGACGCCCGCGTTCGCGAAGGCAACAGGCAAAAGCCAAGTACGCAACCAGTTCAGTGACAGAAGCAGATGTCAGAAGGGTTTTGTACGCCTCATCCATCGATGCTTTTCTTCTTGCTTTACCCTACTCACTTCAAGGTAATAAAATCACACATCTCAAAATCCTTTAAAATCAGTTTTACCTAACTAGGTGATACATTATTCTACTTTGAAAATAGACCTGATTTTCAGTAAAGTCAACGATTAGCTTCCCTCTCACACCCACCCATTTTTCTGAGCAGCTATCTACGAAGCGTTACGCAGCAGCTGCTGTAGCGCAGATACAGGCTATAGCCCTGGATACACAAAGGGGTCGTAAAAGCCTTCCTTGGCACCTACCAGAGCTCCCTGTCAGAAGGAAAGGGAGATGAGGCGCACAAACCCTCCTATCACCGGCTGTGGGTCATAACTCCAGAGCTAGCACAACTCCTACACCATCTTTAGCTTATTCTGTGTCTTTTAAGAATCCAAAGATCAACAGAATAGCTGTATACCTTCACCCCTGGGAATAATTTTAAAGCAGATGTTTCTCTAGGAAAAGCTTTTCGCAACTGTAAAAAAAACGGAGTCAAATAGTTCAATGATTTTGATACAACCTCATTAGCCACGTGCAAGAAGAGACATGCTGGCCAACACCATGGCACTACTACCAGCTCTCACATTAGGGTCTAACACCAGTTATGTGAAGTTACTGGAGCCGTGTTTGGAGGAAGGTTATGTCTTAAACCAAAACAAACAAAAGACCCTGCACCCCTCAAAAAAGCTGACCTGTACATTATTTTGCAGGGCTTACCCAGTAGAAGGGTTTACAGCTTGATGTTCTCTCTTGCACGACCGTTTCCGCAGCAGGAGAAGGCACTGAGTGCATCCCTGCATGTAACGGAGCTCTCACCCCCAGCACGTAATCTGTCTTCACTCATGGACACGTGATAACCAGTACAAGTTATGAGTGAGTATTCCTACAATTCAGTCAGTGCAAATGCTGAATTTCAGATTGCAGTACAGCTTACCAACCCTGCACCTCAACTAGCCAGCTTGGTGTACTCTTAATACAGAAAACTACAAATGGAGAAATGCTGCAGACTGATTTTCTTCTGAAACACAGTATTATTTGGAAGTGTTTTCAATCAGAATGTTAAGTCACAGCAAGCTGAGCTTTCCTCTTGTTTCAGAAACACCTATGTAGACCTTTGCTTCCTTTATCAGACGCCAACCAAAATACGTATGTTTTTGGAGCATGATAGTTTCCATCATGAGAAGTATAAAAATATCTATATACATACACATCCATATATAATTATGAAAGGTATTTCATGCAAATAGTTTAAGCACAGAGCTTGCCAAGAGGTTCATAAACACAGAGGCTGCTGCACAGACAGAAATTGTCAGAGGTTCAACAGCTGTACAAGGTCACTGCGTTTCTATGTAGAAAACAAAGCTACCCCACTGTCTCACATCAGAAAGCCAACCTTCCTCCCAGACTAACAACCAACCAAAAAACCCTGGTGATGTGAATATTCTAGGTTCCTCTTATAGATTTCCACCCTCTCCATCCCTTCCTCCTCCTCCTCTGAAAAAAAAGCCTATCTCAGGTCACAGCTTCACAGAGGGGAAGGGGCTGGGAGGGAGCTCCAGAGCTCCTCCAGTCCAACCCCCTGCCAGAGCAGGATCCCCTAGAGCAGACCCCACAGGAACCAGTCCAGGGGCTTTGGAAAGTCTCCAGGGAAGGAGATTCCCCCCCTCTCTGGGCAGCCTGTTCAGGGCTCTGTCACCCTCACAGGGAAGAAGGGTTTCCTCACGGTCAGGCTGAACCTTCTGTTTCCAGCTCATGGCCATTAATGAAGGTTCATCTTCATTAGGGGAAGAGGTAGAATCAGGAACATCATCAGTTACACCGAGGCACTGGGAAAGGTGCTTTATGTTGGCTTACTGCAACGTGCAACTACGTTTGTCCATACATTTCAAAAGCAGAAATATTACTGAGATTTTATGATAAAATTAGCCACTTTCTCTAAGTATTACACAACTTTTTCAAGTTACAGTAATTGCCCTGTATTTTCCAACTTTCGGTAGGCAATTAAGTATTCTGAATCCTTAACTCAAACAACCTTCGCATGCTAATAATAAAGGTTGAATATAACTAATTCAGAAAATTGCAACAGAAAAACACAACCAACTGTAAAATACTCTTTATCTGCTTCAACACTGAGGTCACCTCGGCACGCCCGCTGCCTCCGATTTCCCAAACACCTACTTACCAGGAAAACCTTCGAAAGTGATTCTATCCCCAGGCACTGCTCCGGGTGGGGGAGCCAAAATTTCCACTTTTTCGGGGGAGCTGGCACACATCACCATTGCTTGAGATACAACTCCTCTCATCTTCGCAGGCTTCAAGTTGCAGAGCAGCACGGCCATCCTGTTCTGCATCTTGGGGGAGGGAGAGAAGGAGGTGAGTACCTAAATGCCTCGGGCTTCCGGGGACTGGCACTGAAAACAGCTAAGGAGAGAGGCGTGCAGCAACATGTGCACAATCTTAGTGCCTGCACACCTGTAACAATGACACTTAAACCACTTCAGAGCTGGCCAGTGAGCGACGGGGTCAACACTGAACTGCGACACGCTTACGGAAACGTAAATGTGCAATTCAGAAATGCAAAAACCAGGCGATGCGTTTCAGCCCCACTCTGTCTTTACTCAGTGTGGATCACCACTGCAGTTCACTAATCAAACAATAACAACCAAAACCCCTTCCTATGAGGCCAGCTCATAGGTCAAAATTTCACTCTCTGCACTGGAAGCATCCAGGTGTTTTACACCACACACTCACGAGAATCTTAAATGTTGTTTCATTTAGCCCAAAGGCTGTGAATTTTTTTAACCCCTGAACACGGCTGCATACACGATGCACTGCGATTTGTTAGGGCAAAACAGCATTACTAGATTTTTTCCCTTGTTGTTTTATTTTAATTAGAATAGTAAACCAGAGAAAACAATTTGTGAGGGGAAACTGCCACACTTCAGCCTAGAAAACAAACCACACTTCCAAGAGGAATAAAAATGAAACCCAACACGTTCTTAGACAGACAGAAAGGAAGCCTGAATTCCCATCCTCCCAGTGCACACACACTCATACATAAACACATTTATCTCTGTATTCCTAGATTTCAGTCTTCGTGCATTACAGCATAAACTTTACACAAAACTGCAGGAGAAATACTTAATAAAACTCAGATGATCAAGTACTCTGAATACTGCATATTTCCAAGCAGAACATTTTAAAAAGCAGCAGTAAAGATCTCCAAAATGAAGCAGTTACAAAGAAAAGTTGACCTCACCCAGGTGACAAGGCAGCCACTGACTGAAAGCTTCCAAGTTACTGCTATGAGTATGAACTGCCCAAAATACAAGAAGTGGCTGCACTGTGTCAGTGACCAAGTGCAGGCTGCAGACATGGTCCAGCACTGCACAGCAATTAGCAAACGAGTGTATGTACTTCAAGGCCAGGCTGGATGAGGCTTGGAGCAACCTGGGCTACGGAAGGTGTCCCTGCCCATGGCAGGGGGTGGCACAGAGGGGCTGTAAGGTCCCTTCCCACCCAAACCATTCCATGATTCTATGATAAGAATAAAAGAAACCAGATCTCTGCATTTGGTACTCAACTTCAGTTTTGACTAACTGGAAGAGCTTCTTGCTTTGTTTTTACAGCTCATACCACGGACAAAATCAGTCCGCGTTGATACAGCCAGGGGGATGGCATCTGCGTCGCACTAACAGGAAAGAAAACCACCCTGGCACCACATCACTCCCTCCTCTCCAAGGACAGTGGCCCAGAGGTGTATTTATACTGTGTGAGATCGCTGCAGGAGCGGTTGGTTACTGTCACAAAATTATTTATCAACGTTTCAAACGTACACATTATGCCATCACTTTTACCAGGAGATATCTTCAGATGCTTTCAGAACTGCTCTGGTTCTAAGATATGTGCATGGATTTCACAAACAAATGGAAAGGAAACTCCCAATGTTGAATATTAGTCTAAAACAAAAAGGAAAATGCACCCCAGCGTGGTCAAGCCCAACCAGAACCCTGTGGCTGGTTTTTTTAACTTTTTATTACAAATGGTTCAATTTTTCAAGTGTCTTCAGATAAATACCAATTCCAAGTACAGAGGTGGGAAAAAAAAAAAAGAAGGAAAATAAATTAGACCTAAACAAATGCTTCCTAACAGTGGAGTGTGGGGGAGAGGGTTGGGTTGTTTTTTTAACTGGTTGTGCTAATTGTTATAAAAAGGGACTTACTGTATTGTTTCCAGAAAAGGGGGCTGCAGTTACAACAGTAAACCCCTCTGTATTCATGCATCGTAAGTGCCAAAAACCTGGTTATGAACCACAAAGCAATCTGACCTTTGGGCATTTTATCTGCATTGATCTTACAGCAAACAACAAACCCCCCGAGACGTGTCAGCTGCCAAGAGCCAGACCCAGTAAGTCTACTGATGGCCACTCTCCTACCCCATAAATTAGAGGAGCAAAGGAACAACCTAGTTTTTTCAAAAGTAACTGTTAAAAATAAACTGGGGAGTTCCGTGACTCAGAGGTAAGAAAAAAAAGAAGGAAAATAAAGAAGGCACAAAGAAAAACCAGAAGGAAGAAGCCCGACTCCCTCTCCTGGCACAAGAAAAGTTGCATCAGAAACACAGGGTGTCACTGCAAAGCAGCTGAAGGTGACGGAGACAGTAAGCCTATGTTCCCCTCTGCACGTGTGTTATTACCCAGCCAAGGGAATTCTGGTTAAGAACAACAGGGCAGATCTCTGCCCTTCAAAGGACACCAAGAGAAGCAAGACTGTCTCCAGGGAACTGGTGAGGCTTTGGCATCTCCAGCAGTGTTCGATACATCAGTGACCTGAGAATAAGGAAAGGAAATTCAAATGGTATCTCCTTGAAGCACTAACACCCTCCACTGCCCTTCTAATCCAAAAGGATAGGCTCTTTGGAAATCCAGGAGCTTCTGAAGTGGCAACTCAGCTAGTGAGAAACTGATGTAGTGTCAGCCAAAACATCAGTTGTCACCGTTCCTACGGTTGAACACGCAGCCACTTCCCAGCCAGAACGAAACAGTGCACGTTCCTAATGTGCTGGTACAATGAAATGGGGTGCTGGGGCACAAAGCAGAGAAACTGAAATGAGGAAAAGTTAACCCTGAAGGTTACCACACAGAAAACCCAAGACCTTATCCTCGAAGCACAAGTGTTACATTGCTCCTCTTGAAGCTTCCTGAGGTTTTCACACCCATAAATAACTTGCGCTGCACCCTGAAATGTTTCATTACGATACACATAGTGCTTCCTATCCAGAAGTAGGATCAGATTTTTCAAATCCTACAGGCTCAAACACTGCTGAATTACCGCACCAGACACTGCGATCGTGAGCTCTGGGGGAATTATGTCTGCAGTACTTGATCTGATGTACACGTTTTTATTTACATCCATGGCAGTCATCACAGGATGCCAAGCCTTCACATCTGAACACTTCAACACACACAAAAAGGTGAAAGCTTGCCCCAAATAGAGACGTGCCAAAACCAAAACCAGACGGGCAAACGTACTGTTCCCAAAGAATGTGCAAGAATAGTCCCTAATTCTTTGCTAATGAGTGCTTTGGATTATTTTTTCCAGACAGAAAGCAGGTTAAAAGACTGTTACTGCTGCTGCATTCTATATAATTCATGCTCATAAGCTTATTTAGAAAGGCTTTTAAGATGTTATTTCTACAGGCTTCCTTGAGAGCAGACCGCTAGAAGTGGGCAGTTGGAGATCCTGCCCACTGCAAAGCCTGTAACTGGACACCACGAGGTGATCAGAGCAGAATACTTACTGTATTCAGTCATTTTTTTCAGTTCAATCAATTTATGTACCATAAAAGCAACACTCTCAACTTCAACTGCCTCCTACGTTTGCAGCCTTACCACGGGGGCAGGCCATCAAGAGTTGGAAGGCAGAGGTTTCAAAAGTCTGGCTGATGGCAATAAAGTCACCATGGGCTCTCTGCTACCTACTAGGAAACCCAGAGGGAGAGTCATAACTATTTGGTTTAGGAGTCCACTGGGTACACAATGGCATCACACGATTCTGAAGAAGATCCCTGGACAGAAGCACTGCAAGCAGAAAGGAACCCATCTGCGGGAAGGGCAATTCTCCATTTTCTGGCAAATGTTAAGAATTGCTTCCATTCGCATTTTACTTTTGTTTTCACGACTGTAAAAATCTTTTAGCAGAATGCAAACACATCCTATAAACAGATGAACATCTTAAGATGCTTTAGGAGAGGAAAAGCTACCAGTAAATGATTTTGTCAATACCTGATCCAGAGGAACATGTTTCACTAACCCGCTGACAACAGTCCTTGGGCTTCCTTCACCAACATCCACTTCTTCAACATACAGAGTGTCTGCATCCGGATGCTTCTCGGCAGTAATGATGCAGCCAACTCGAAGATCCAGACAGGACACATCTACAGGTTTTGCATCACTGCTCCCAGCAGCTGGCTGCTGCTTCTTCTCCTTCTTTTCACCTATTAAAGAGAGTTTTGTTCATGAAATAACACTAAAAAAAGCATAATAAGCATCCAGAAGTTGTGCATGCCCCATCCCTGGGAGTGTCCAAGGCCAGGCTGGATGGGGCTTGGAGCAACCTGGGCTATGGAAGGTGTCCCTGACCATGGCAGAGGGTGGCACTGGGGGGGCTTTGAGGTCCCTTCCCACCCAAACCACTCTGGGATTCTATGATAAATACTGTATATGGCCATTGCAAGGGAAAAGCGAGCTACAATCTCAGGAATATGTGTAAAGCACAACTGAAGAATGAAGAGTTAGCACGACTATTACTAGTTTCCAGTGGAGAATCCTCACATGCTCTCCAATTTAGATTGTTACTACAAGTAATTACAGAAGGCTCTTGCTGAGGTCACCCTGAGCTTTAAGCACAGCTAACATGCATGCAAGTGGCACACGCACTCTGCCGAAGGCCACATCAACAGCCTGACAGTCCTGGTTTATTAAGTAGCACTTACCAGTAAGCCTCTTCACGGTGTTTCCCCAGCAAAGGGAAGCCAGGGAATCACAAGTCATCAGGTTACGAGTGCTTAACAGCAGCTCCTGACCGCAGGCAATGCTAAGGCACCGCACTGGTACAGGTCAAAGCACCCTTCAAGGTGACCTCGGCTCGCATCCTTCACCTCGTACCAGCAGGTGAGAATGCTCGTGGCCTGTGAGGTTCCACTGACGCGGAGCGTTTAACCCCTGCCGACGCGAGGGGCCATCATCACCCTCACGTGCAGTTAAGCAACACTCCCCCTACTCAGCTGCTTACTGAGATACTCCTTTCCAGATGAGCAAGTTACATCGGTTTGTGTAAGGCTCTTTAAAAGGATTCAAGGTTTCTTTAACAACTACAGTCTCCAGGGGATTCAGAAATGCCTACAAAGTGCTTATTTAAACTACACATATTCTGTTACTCTTCCATCCAAGACAGCTTACATCAGTGATGTAAAATACACTCCTTTAGGGAGAAAAAAAGTGGACACAGCATGCCATTTGATTAATCTATCATTGATCCATACAGGGTTGAAATTAATTAACACATTCAATAACACAAAGGCCCTTCCATAATTTAAATGCCTTAAGTGTCTATCACAGCTAAGAAAACCAAAGTACCTTTTTTGTCTACTTTTTCCTTCTTTTTCTTTTCTTCATTTTCACTTTTAACCTGGTCTTTGGAAGCAGGTGATGAGACTGCTGTGGGTTGTGCAACATCATCAGAAGGCGAAGCTGTAGAAACGGTTGTAGCCAGAGGAACTGCGACCTGTTTCACTAAATCAAACATGTAAGTGAGAAGGGAGCCGCATGAACACTGACATTTTAAAGTTTCCAACAGAAATGAGAAAGTAGAGAGAGGTGAAAACTTTGCTTAGAACACCTAAACCTCAACTTCTGAGTACTGAAGCGCAACGTTACAAAATGCATTTCTGAGCTCTATATACCGGGGAGACCTTAGAGCCCCTTCCAGGGCCTGGGGGGGCTACAAGGAAGCTGGGGGGGACTTTTTACAAGGGTCTGTAGTGACAGGACAAGGGGGGACGGGTTTAAACGGAAAGAAGGAGATGGAGATGGGACATCAGGAAGGAATTCTTCCCGCAGATGGTGGGGAGCACTGGGACAGGTTGCCCAGAGAAGCTATGGATGCCTCATCCCTGGGAGTGTCCAAGGCCAGGCTGGATGAGGCTTGGAGCAACCTGGGCTATGGAAGGTGTCCCTGCCCATGGCAGGGGGGTTGGAACTAGATGATCTTTGAGGTCCCTTCCAGCCCAAACCGTTCTATGATTAATCTGATCAATTAAGAACAATGCCTTTGGCTACATATTTTTTAAATGGGAAAGTGCTAAGGGCAAGAACACACACACAAGCAAACCCAGCTCTTTTTGTAGTTCATTTCAACATCTAGTTATCTTTGCTACTAAGTCCTTATTCCTCATTTGTATTTGTCTCGTTTCAGTTCCTAGCTGCTAGCTCTGCTCATACTGGAGACCATCCCATAGTTTGTTACAAATACACTTTTTTTATACTGTAGTCAGATTATTCCTCAACTCTTTTTTCTGATTAACTAAAAATATAGAGCCTGAATAATCACATTCTAAGAAATTACCTGCAGCCCTAAAACGATCAGTTGATTCCCCACTTCCCGCCCCTAGATTCCCCACGTTACCTTCATAGTTGTTTTTAAACTGCTGATATAGGATTCTGGACGTCACCTCACTATCAGTCTTACCAGATGAAAGCATAAGAATCACCTCCCTTCTACATTCTGCTCTTCAAGAATCCCACTGAGGCTTTTTACCAAATCATGGTACTGGGTGAGCACCATCAGCAGGCCGGACAACGTCATCCGGGCTCCCGTGCCCAAGCAAGGTTAGACCAGACGATCTTTCGAGGGCCATTTCAACCTGGGCTGTTCTACGACTGGTTACTGCTTGACAAATCCTCCCGGTGTCACTACTGTGCAGTTCTCTACCCTGCATACAGCCTGCTTTTCACACTTCAGACACATTAACTTCCCTGAAGAACTGCACTGCGTTTGTCGACACTTGCTCTCTTCAACACTAAGGTGATTTGCATGAACATTAACAAATTATCTGAATCTGAGATTTGTTGCACCAGGAACCACTGGCTTTTTTGCTCGCTAGTTGTGGAAAGACTCTTTGTTTCACCAAAGATCTCACCAGTGACGTTTTGATCATACTCAGTGCTAACTAGAGCCATGTTGTACGAGGACAGAACTTTTTCCTCACCTCTGTTTCGAATTTCTGCCTCAATCAGCTCCTGTTTCAGCCCTTCAATTTCCTTCTTCAGTTTAGCATTTTCCACACGGAGCTTCTTCTCTTCTCGCAGAGACGCCTGCAAGACTAGAGGTGACACTGTATTAGACACGACAGCTCTTCAAAACTAGCATTCATCATTTGGCAACTCTTTGCCAAAGGTCCTGTTTAAAAACATGTGAAAGGTGGTGAGCCAAACACCAAAAAAGGGGAAACTTTCAAGGAGCGTATCATCGGAAGTAGTTTGGAATCCTTTTTTTGTGGAAATAGCTATTTTTACAATACTTACGCACTCAACTTGCCTCAATGTACTAACTTCTCAGTCCCATAAACAGACGCATGAGAAAAAATTCCGAGAAGCGTATTGGAAAAAACTTGAACATGTCTGTCCTAAGGAGCACCTTAATTCACAGGTACAGGGACGGACAACACCGCAAAGGTGGGACACTACCCAGAGCATCCTGTCGTCTTCAGAAAGCCGTAACACATTCAGAGTCTTGTATTCTTCCCAAATCCCATTCTCCCTCCAAAAGGAAGTGTGTCCTATCAAATTTCCATCATGTCTCATTAATCCTTCCTCATGCAGTATTCTCAAACAGAAAAGCTTCCAAAGCAGCTTCAAAGGAACCCAAAAACCACCAGAGTGTGGCGGTGTTACTATTACAAACTAGCCTTGGAGAACCTGAAACACCCCCAAGGCTGACAGCCCCAGTGAAATCGTCCATGGCCCCGTATTTTCCCCATGAGCATTTCATGTTAGCCATCTGGTTAACACGTTTATCACAAGACAGGTAATTCCTTACTAGCTTTCTCCTTGAGCAGAGCAACTTGTTGCTTGAGGTATTTGATAACTTGATCGGCCTCTGCACCCTTCAGCACTGCATTGTTGGCTGCCATCTTCGCCAAGAAACGGGCTAAAAACCTAGACAAACAGACAGGCGAGAATCCATGACTCGACGCAATAATGCTGCCATCTCCCACCACATCTTGTTGCTCGACAAGAACGTCTGCCCAGTGAACAACCTGGGCTCCCACCTCCTAACGCAAAGCCCAGACAAAAAGCAACGTTTGACAGAATCTGATGTTTGGCAGCTGCTTTCAAGTATTTTGGAAGAAAAGCTGGTTTTCATCCCAGCTGCAGAAAACATGTTCTTCCCTCATGAAATGGAAAAAAATACCACCTTCTCAGAAAGAAAGGTCTGAATAAATTGGAAGAAAAAAGGAAATAAAAGAGAAAAGGTTGGAGAGGAGAACTGTGCCCAGGTCTCAGCTGACAAGTTTATTAAGTGTATGCAGAATTTTACCAAAGGCAGAAAATAGAAACATTCCATGAAAATTTCCAAACTGTTCTTCTAAATTCATTCCGAATACACTGAATGCTTCATACACTGTGGCTGTGCACACATGAAGAATTTACTGTTGCTTTACTTTTAAGCAAAATGCATCAGCATTTTTACTCATCTTTGATTAATACAACTTTTATTGCAGGTTTAGACCTTCAGAGTTATTTTAGCACTGACTTTCACAGAATCATAAAATCACATAACGGTTTGGGTTGAAAGGGACCTT